GATAAAACCACAGGCAGCAATGGAGGAGGCCCTTGTTCGCATCTTAACTCCTAAACGCTCGATTGATATATTGAGGGATGTTCATGCCGCAAAGGAGCAAGGGAAACCATATGTTGTGGTTTTTGTAGGAGTTAATGGAGTTGGAAAATCTACCAATCTTGCTAAGGTTGCTTATTGGCTTCAGCAGCACAACATCAATGTAATGATGGCTGCCTGTGACACATTCCGATCAGGAGCTGTAGAGCAGCTGCGTACTCATGCACGTAGACTTCAGGTATGTCATCGTTGGAAAGTTTATGCGCTCTTCGTTGGGAGAGAGATTATGCGTATTAGTTTTTGACATTGAATTGTCTTATCCTCAGATCCCCATATTTGAGAAGGGCTATGAGAAGGATCCTGCTATTGTTGCTAAGGAAGCAATTCAGGAGGCTAATCGTAATGGTTCAGATGTTGTTCTTGTTGATACAGCTGGTCGTATGCAGGTAAGATTGAATTTTGACTTTCTTACCTTGTAATCATTGCTTATTGTAGGACTCCTAGATTTTCTTGGATGCTGTATATGTTGTATTGGACAGCGGTTTCCAATTGTTTGTTGTAATATTCTGCCTTAAAAGCTGAGCTACTCTTGTTTCTTGTTTTAACTTTCAAGTCCTTCTCATTTATGCACAACTGTCTTATTCCACAGGATAATGAGCCGCTGATGCGAGCACTTTCCAAGCTTATATATGTCAATAGTCCGGATCTGATCCTTTTTGTTGGTGAGGCACTTGTCGGAAATGATGCTGTTGATCAGTTGTCGAAGTTCAACCAGGTTTGCCTCTAATGGTGATGATAACATTCTTTTCTTGAATGTTTGTCCCCGCATTAGATTCACCACGTTCTCTTGTTTTTTATTGCAGAAATTAGGCGATCTTTCACCCTCTCCAAATCCAAGGTTGATAGATGGAATTCTGCTTACCAAGTTTGACACCATTGATGATAAGGTACATGGTCATGGTCTTTTTTCATAAATAAGTTTGATGCCTGGTTACCTTTTCTATACGAGTTTTTAGTGCTAATATCTTCATACTTATCATTCTGATATTCAAAATATGTTTTAGTCATGTTAGTACGTTTACTTTAGCTCCTAAGCTTTATAGTCATATCAGAGAGAGATTTATATACCGGTAGAAAGAGTATTGGCTTATTTCTACCTTATTTTTGTGTAATATTGGCTTATGACAAAGCTTAAATGGAGCGACACAATCAGTGAAGGTTCATATAGTTGATCCCTACTTGAGTTTGGGATTGAGGCTTAGTTGTTGTGCTCTGATATTCAACGTTTGGCGCAGGTGGGAGCGGCATTATCTATGGTTTATATATCCGGAGCCCCTGTCATGTTTGTGGGATGTGGTCAGTCCTACACAGACTTGAAGAAGCTGAATGTTAAGTCCATCGTGAAAACACTCCTCAAATGAGAGCATACAATCTGTCTCCTCCTTTAGTTTGTTGGTTCTAATATGTTGTTTAAGAAGTGTAAACACTTTGTATCCTTGCTGCAGTCTGTTTGTGTACTCTCCATCTGTAATCTCACTATTTTGATTTTGAAGGTGAAGCATTTGACTTAATGGTGTGTACTAACCACCTAACCCCCTCTCCCCCCCCTACCCCCGTCCACCCTGCTTTCCTCCTTTTATAACCGAGAAATCCGCTGATTATAGGGTGTGCTTGGTATGAAGGAAAATATTTTTCAATTTACCTATGTTTGATTGGCTTAAATATTTTGGAAAACATTTTCCTCGTAAACTCATTTTCCTTCAATTTGAGGAAAATATTTTCACTATCAAGAAAAGGAAAAATATTTTTCAAAACTCTTTTTCAACCTTACCCGTCCTATTTCCCATCCCCACCCCCACGCCTACCCTAAATTCGTTGGATAATCGATTCGCCTCTCTATCTTTCCAACTTAAATATCAGTTGAAATTTTGTGGATAATCGATCCGTCTCTTTACCTATGTCACCTTAAATTTTTGGTAGATAATCAATTCTTCTCTCTACCTTTTTCAACTTAAATATAACATTTTCAACTTATAAATAGGTTTCGAACGGTGACATGCGCCAATCACGCTGTTTCTCGGGTTTATGACACATCCTCTCAAGGTAGGGGTAAGATTTGCGTATACAATACTATTTTCAGACCCCATTTGTGGAAATTCACTGGGTTTGTTGTGGTTGTTGCTATACTATATTTTGTCGTAACTAGAATCATGTGAAACGTTAAATCAAGGAAAGAAAATGCAAAGTGGTTAAGATTAAAAATTTGGAACGAATTTAAACAGATCTACTTTTTGATTTTTTATATCCATTCAAATTTAACTATATTCCCAAATAACATTCCAACTCGATTCAACGTTTATTTAAGTCTACATTTTTTTATTAAAAAAAAATGTTTTATTTACGTGCGTGTGTGTATTTGTATGCCCGTGTAAGGAAACCACAGTGTTGTATTGATGCGACATGTTAATAAATGCTATTGGAAGGGATAATATATGTACTTCAATTCATATAAATGGTGATGAATGTTGACCAAAATAAATTTTGAAAACTGACGTTAATCTTGATTTATTATGGAGTTTTCAATTATTCACGTTGAACTTTTCAAAACCTTTATTTTTTTTTTCGTCTTCCAAACTTTTGATTTATATTTGTTAAAAAACTAGACTCGAATGGAAGAGATTGACGATTCATAATAAAAAGGGGTGTCTAAGAATTCTTTTGTCCCCGACATAAAATATGAATAATAAAAGACAGGGGCGGATCCAACCCTTTGATACCGGGTTTAATTGAACCAAGTACTTTCAGTGCAGAATATAACTTTATGTGTAAAACAGTACTAAAATTATAACATATAAATAGTAGATATGAACACATAACTTTAAAAATATAATTGGTTTGAACCCATAAAATTTAAATTTTATATCCGCCTCTAATAAAAGATGAGGAAGAGTATATTTTGTAGAGAGATAGCAATTCGAAAGGGAGAATGACACTGTATAGTCTCTCTCAAAATAATAGCCTAAAAAATATATGTATATATATATATATATATATAAAATAAATTAAAGACAAACAAAAATTTCTCTTCTTAGAATCATTTTGGGTGACGAAATTTCTATTCATTGCTATTTCCTTTTTTTCCTTTTTTCGTTTACTGCGAGTAGATAGTAAATAGTTTATGTATGTTATATACAAAAATTTTATACTTTTTCGGCTACCGAATGTAAATAGTTTCTGGCGCGGGCTAAAAGTAAAAAAAAAAAAAAAAAATATTTGAGACACATTTTGTACCCCTCCTTGGGCATTCATATTTTAATACAACTCTGTGGCTGTTAACAACAAATCCGTTGTAGTCTAGTTGGTCAGGATACTCGGCTCTCACCCGAGAGACCCGGGTTCAAATCCCGGCAACGGAATTTTTTTTATTTCCAATTTTAAATTTAACATTAATAATTATTATTAAATTTATCTGGATTGGTGAAAAACATAGTGAGCTCGCCAACAGCATGACTTGAACAACCAAATTGATATATGACTTTATTATAAGCCATTTCCACGTATCCAATCTATTTTGGTAAAAAAACAAATTCTAAACCATCTCTATAACTAGCAATCAAAGATATAATTCCTTTTATTAGTAAGAGATTTCTCTGGATTTAGAAGGCAAAAACTATGTAATTAATTTTTCTAATTTAATTATGAGTTAGGATTAAACAAAAGGGTTCACAAATAAAAATGCTAATGCTACGGTAAGTTTATAAATTGTTAAAACTTTTATAAAAACTAGAGTATATAATAGAGTACCTCCTCCTTTTTTTATCCTATGCCTCATATTATTTGCGGATACCCTCTACAATTTGATCATCTACATATTAATACCGGCAATAATGAAATTTATAATAAGAAAAAAATTCATCTGACTTCAAAAATCATGACGGTTCAAATTCCCTCTACTATTACTGGGTGAATTAAAGCGCAAAAAATGTTTATTGCCTTTTTGTTTTCCCTTTTATTCGTGGGAATCAGAGGCAGACCTATGTGTAATGTTGAGGGGTCACCAGACCCCGTAAATTTTGATAAAATTTTTGTATATGTATATACCTTAAAATGGTTAATTTGAATTACTTGACACCCTGAACGCTATAAGCCTTTAGAGAGCACTAATTAAACAAAATATTATTCCCCCATCGCATTAAAAGCCTAAGGTTAGAGAATGTAGAAAAGAATAACGTAGGAAAGACACGATTCAAAAGACGACTTTTTAGAGTCACTTAGCTCCTTGATCTCTTCTCTCAAAAAAAACGTTGTGCGGGCAAGAACTAGCATGAAAATTAATTTATTAAGACCAATGCGATTGTTCCTATTTCATTTTGAATCTTATACTTTAGAGTTTAAGTCATATACATCGTCAAGGTAATATATTTTTTTCATACCATCAAGTCACATTTATATATTATAACAAATAACATGTCTTATTTTTAAAATTATAAAATCATATTTTAATATGGTTTTTTACCTATAAATATTCTTTGAGTGACAAAATGTTGATAGTGTTCTAACATACTTATACAGTCAAGTTCCAATCCAAAAGATAATGTTTTGTTTCAATAGGTGGATTTCAAAAACAATGTAAGATTAATGTTTTTAAAAAAATTTAAAGGTCCTAAAAATGTGCTGACTATAAATTTGTACTTTTACTATGGGATTTTTTTTAATTATATTTTTTGGTTTTTTGCTCAAACTCATGAAATGAAACGGCTCATTAAGCTAATTATGGAAAATAAATGACCAAAAACAACCCACTTAAATATCAAATTCAAACTTTCCAAACCTCCCTTTTGGCTAATCATGTGCCACTAACGTGTCAACATCTCACAGCTTCGATTAGTCCGAACCTCACTCCGAACCTAGACTCCTAAACAAAGCCAAAAGCTTTATATATATCGATAAAGCCCATTAATCCTACGACTCTCTCATCAACTCATAATATATATATTTCCTTGCTATATTCTTCACTTATAACTTTCTGTTTAGAATTTTTTCACATTTTCTTTTGAAAAAAGGAAAAAAAAATGGTTTCCATTAAAAGTAATACTCTTGTTTCGTTTTTGGCTTTTCTTGTGATTTTTGTTTTTATCAGTTTTTGTGAAGCAAAAGAGTTTGTTGTGGATGGCAAAGCAAATTCTTGGAAAATCCCTTCTTCACCTGATGAATTTAATAAATGGGCTGAGAAAACTCGTTTTCAGATCGGTGATTATCTTGGTAATTTCCTTTTTTAATCTTAACTTTATATTTTCGAAGTCATTTTCTAGGAAAATATTTTAATGTTATATCCTTGTTCTCTAGATTAACTTGCACGCATAATGCATATATGTTCATTATTCCGTGCATGTTAGTGTCAGGTCGGGAATTTCTGCCTTGTTATCAAAAAGGAGTTCGGTAAAGCAAACTCTATCTTTGCAGGAGCACGGGCTTAGTCATTGCTATGGGCGGAGTTAGAGTGGCGAAAATCTACTTTGCCGAAACAAAATTATATTTTATGTGTAGATAGTAGATGTTGAATTCTCTTGACATGTTCGTGTGTTTGCGTTTTAATATTCTGAAGTCCATTGATATAAATCCTGCCTTCGCTACTGGTCGTTGCATTGTTTGATGCTCATCCACCGCTTTTTATATTGAAAATTTAGTCTTTATCTTTTTAGGCTGTCTTTTGTGTGCTATTACTTACGATATGCTATTATTTCATGTCGATGTATATAACTTACATCTTGTGGCTATATTAGATAAAACAAGATTTTCACCCCCACAACTAAGTTAATTTCAGTTAACACTTCTTCTCGTTTTCTTGATTATATTTTGGACAGTTTTGAAGTATGATCCAAACTCAGACTCAGTACTACAAGTGAATGAAGAAGACTACAAAAATTGCAACAAAGCAAATCCCCTTAAATCATATCAAGATGGAGAAACCAAGATTTTGCTTAATAAATCAAGTCCATTTTTCTTCATTAGTGGAGCTAATGGCCATTGTGAAAAGGGACAAAAACTTGAGGTCAAAGTCTTGTCTCCTCAACATAGTTCTAAGGCTCATTCTCCGGCCCTCGCTCAGACTCCAGTTACTCACACTCCAGTCGAAATTCTACCTCCGGCACCGGCTCCGGCTAGTGGAAGTTCCGGCATGAAATTTGGGATTATTGGAGGTTTCATTGTTATGCTAGGAAGTTTTATTGTTCTTGCTTAGGGTTTTTAGACTTAGGTTTTAGATTTTAGGGGTTTTTTAAATCTTGTAGTGCATGACTCATTTGTGACATTATGTTCGTGTTTTTTTAATTAGCAGTACTTCTTTTGTTGTTTTTTGTTATACGGTATCAGTTTGTTTGAACTTTTTCGGAGTATTTAGTTTAAATTAACTAATTTTTTATATGAATTCGAATATATTTTTTTAAAAATTTTTAAAAATAAAATTCGCATATATAGAAGCTACATAAAAAGTACTATATAAGTTAAAATAGTTAATAATTCAAAATATTTAAAAACTATTTGCAAATATATACTTATCAAAGAAAATTTTGTTTAATTCTCCAAATAGTAATAAGTCCATTCTTTTTGAAATGGAGGGAGTAACTTTTTGTGCAATCTTCTTTTTCTTACTTCAAAGCATTTATAAGTTTTTTGTGCNCAAGTGAAAAATCTATTTAACTTAGGTCTTTTCAAGTTAAAGAGTCACAAGAACTCTATGAAAAACAGATAAGCCAGTTTGGACATCACCAAACCTATTCATATTTGCTCTTCAACAAGAAAATAACCATTCAATTATATATTCCAAAACTTTTGCTCTTAATTTATTATTTTCACAACTGCATTTGCTGTCTTAAGTCCACTTGTATCAACAATTAATCCTCTCATTTTTTACACTATTTATAACTCTTAATTTGCAATAACTAATATTTTTTCCGTCTCAATTTATATATTATATTTTTCTTTTTAGTCTGTTTCAAAGAGATGTTATACTTCCTCGTCTAGAAACAATCTAATAGTAAAATTTCTACTTTTTCCTTAATAAAATAATTTATAACCACACAAATATTTATAGTTTGTTTTATGCCATAAATTTCAAAAGTTTTTCATTTTTTTCTTAAATTACATGTCCAATTAAATATTGCTACATAAATTGGGGTGAATTGAGTAGTCAAATATCATTGCGAGTCAACCTATGCGACTATCTTCTCACCGACACGTTATTACAAAACAATTCGAAGGGAAGCCTCAAATGTGAGAAATAATGAATTATAGATTATGACCCAAAAAAAAAGAATGAATTATAGATTATGATACTTTAACTTTTAATCATTAAAACCAAATTATAGGATGCAAATTGAAACAAAAAAAATATATGTGTCATCAGAATTCAGTTGGATAAATTAGTTATCGAAATTTTATAAGATCAACCCCCAATTAAATGCTTAATTAAATCATTATACTTATTTTTTTAACAGAATAGACTAATAAATACTTTTACTTCTCTTATTTTGACATCCCAAACCCCTATTTCTTGCCGTGACGGAGCCACATATATTCAAGGGGTCAGTTGACATTCTTTCGTCATAAAATTACGAGCTAGATAGAAAATTCGTTTGTACATATATATAACTATATATTGACTATTCTTGGCTTTTTTATGGTTTTACTTTTTTATATTTTGATCCCTTTTAATAAAAATTCTTGCTCAATCACTGACTCCTCGAAGTTTCATCCAGTAGACACTTGTAATTGTTAAAACATATACTACTATTTTCAACCCCTTTAACACTAAAATTGCAAATACTATTTTAGTTCTAAAATTTTCCTTCCTTTTCCATTTTCAGAATAAGAAGTGCCTTAACATTTCTCTTCTAAAAAAGAAAGAAAGAATTGCATATTATTATGGAAATTAAAGAAAAAGACTAAATGAGAAAATTGGCCAATTGGGAAAGAGGAGGTCTTTTTTGGTTGGAAAGCTACAAATTTTCCCAACTTGTGTCTATTTTATTAGAACTTCTGCTGCTCTGTTCCTCACTTTTGACTTCTATGTTTAGAGCATCCCTTAGATACTGTACATTTTCAGAAATTTTTGACTTTATCTCTGCTTTTTATTACAACCCCTACCCCCCGCCCCCACTTACCCCCCTTTTCTTCTTCCCTTCTTCTCTATCTCTTTTACACCTTAGTTCATCAATTAAACCTCAAAAGACTTTAACTGTAAGTCCCTTTCTCTGATCTACTTTTTTTTCCTATATCTTCACTTGTAGAGATTATTCATTAAAATTAGCAATATAATATAGTTTTCTGTTCTTTTCTTTTCTTTTCTTGTCTTTTTTTTTTTTTTTAAACTTTAAAAATGGAGTCTTGATTAGTTTGTTGGTTATGTGAATTTATATACAAATTTACAGCTGAAGTGGTTAATAAAAATTCAATCTTTATTGGTTAAATTTATGGGTTATTTTCTTTCTTTCTTGTTGACTAGTTAAATGGACTCTTGATTAGTTTGCTGGTTATGTTATCATCTGGTTTTTGTTGTCTGAATTTATATACAAATTTACAGCTGAAATGGTCAATAAAAAGTCAATCTTTATTGGTTAAACTTTTGGGGTTTGTACCTTCTATATATCTTCACTTGCTGATATTAATCATTAAATTAGAAATATTATGTAGTTTTCTGTCTTTTTTTTCCTCTTTTTTTTGTTGTTTTTTGATTGGTAAAATGAGTCTTGATTAGTTTGCTGGTTATCATCTCTTTTTTTTTTTGTCTTAATTGCTCGTGTCAATTTATATACAAATTTACAGCTGAAATTGTCCATAGAAATCCAATCTTTATTGGTTAAATTTATGGAGTTTGTTTCACTAGCAGATATTATTCATTTAATTAGCAATATAATTTGGTTTATGTTTCTTTTCTCTTTTTTTTGCTTCATTTGATTCGTTAAATGGAGTCTTGATTAGTTTGCTGGTTATGTTATCATCTGTTTTTGTTGTCTGAATTGCTTGTGTGAATTTATATGCAAAATTTACAGCTGATGTTGTCAATAAAAAAAGGGATTGTTCCACAAATAGCCGGCCAGATTCAATGTTTACTTTTTCTAGCCGGTATACATAGATTATACATTAATTATACACAGTTATACATATGTTATATACGAATTATACATATAGTATACATCCGTTGGCTATTTTTAGTTTAAGAGATCGGGTGAGCGGCTATTTGGGTTAATTCTTCATAAAAATTCAATCTATTTTGGTTAAATTTATGTGTCTTTTTGTTTCTTTCTTGTTGACTAGTTAAATGGAGTCTTATTCCAGTTTACCTTCTTCACTTTTCTAAACTTTGTTTGAGTTTGATTTTCTTACTTTTTCTTCCATGTTAGAAAAGAACATTGAGATTGTTGTTGAAGTGGCTCAATATGATGTTCTTTTTCATGGTTCCCATTTTGGAAAATAAAGCTGCTCGCATGTATTTATCTCCTTGATGGCTTTTTGCAAGTAAAGAAAGATGTTAAACGGCAAGGGTCTTCCCAAAAATTGAACTTCCCAAAAATTGAAGAAAATTACACACTCGACTTTCGAACCTGCTGGAATTTTTTGCTTTGTTGCAGTTACTACATATGTGTTTGACTGTACAAAATGTTTGATTGTGGTTCCAAGTCCCAATATCTGGGTGGGCAGCGAGAGAAGTTTGTGAGGTACTAGAACATCCTTTGTTGAGATTATCAATCTTTTGTTTCTGTCCACTTCTTTCCACACATATTTGGGGGTTGTATGTTCTTATACGTTAGACATTGTTTTTTCTTAATGTGAAATCAAGGGTAAATGGATGAAACTGGATTCCATAAGTTCCTGATTTATTTGATATGAAATGGCAGTTGGAGCTGAGATCTAACTACAATCTGTTGCTTAAATAGCTGTTGAGAAATCTGTGGTAAATCAATGTTTTCTGGTTTTTCGTAGGTTACATCTTGTCCTCATTTCCTTTGAAGGTTATTTTCAACAATCTTTTAGTTGTATTAGACATTTTTCTATTAGTTAAAGATAACACATAAGATGTTACTATTTAGAATTTAGTCAATTTAGTTATGGCCATTTTCTTTAGTCATTGATGATTTTCCCTGGAGTATCTCTATCGTCATTTGGCAGCTAATCTTGCTTCATCAAATTTTCATATAGGGTGGATGACTTGATTCCAATGTATCCTCACGGTTAGCATCAATTGCAACAAATATATGTGGCTTCAACATGGAAGCTTTTAGACATTCTGGCCATGCAACTAATAGCCCGTCAAGGTCTTTTAAGAGAGGAATGAGAAAAGGATCGGAAGGACTCAAGTCTATTGGTCGATCACTCGGTTTTGGTGTCTCTAAGGCAGTATTTCCTGAAGATCTGAAAGTTTCAGAGAATAAGATTTTTGATCCTCAAGATAAATTCCTTCTCTTGTGGAATAAGCTCTTTGTTGTATCATGCATTCTGGCGGTATCTGTGGATCCACTGTTCTTCTACCTTCCAGTTTTTAATAACACGGCGAATTGCCTTCAGATTGATCGAAAGCTAGCTGTCATAGCCACTACACTACGTACCGTTGTTGATGCTTTCTATCTTATTCACATGGCACTTCAGTTTCGTACAGCTTATATTGCGCCATCATCTCGCGTTTTTGGACGGGGTGAACTTGTGATAGATTCTGGACAAATTGCTAAAAGATACTTGCGGTTCTATTTCATTATCGATCTTCTCTCTGTGCTTCCCTTGCCTCAGGTTTTAACAAAATGCTTTATATTTCTTTGGTGTCTCCTCAAATAGCAACTTTATTTCGATTACTAGTCTTCTACCATGGCTCTTATGGTCACTGACCTATATGTAGTTGTAAATGGTTTTTTCCTTCTTGTTCACTTTCCTTTTCCTCTTGTGGATCTATGCAGATTGTAGTTGGGAGATTCCTGCAGAGATCAGCAGGTTCTGATGTACTCGCTACCAAACAAGCTTTGCTCTATATCATTTTGCTTCAGTATATCCCCAGATTTGGTCGAGTTATACCCTTAACTTCAGAGTTGAAAAGAACTACCGGTGTCTTTGCTGAAACTGCATGGGCTGGCGCTGCATCCTATTTGCTGTTGTACATGCTTGCTAGTCACGTAAGCTACTTGTTAAGTTGTCGAAACGTTTGCTATCAACCGTTTCTACCTTTGGTTCTGTGTAGTATAACCTACTGATTATGTTGTTGTTATTAAAATTTTACTTCTTTCATGTTTGTGTAAGTTTTCCTGTCATTATGGAGCTCCTTATGAGGGAAAATCTTTGTGAAA